CAAAAGTGGGCCTCCCAAATGAATCTCAATTGCATGCACTAGACTAATCTATTGAATCATAATATGCGTTGATAATGCGTTTTGTACCCTCAGGTTAGTACATTTTCTTTAGTCACGCATAGACATCTGCTGGACAAGTGGAACTGGCTTATTTTACCATCAATAGATGGAGACACAGAATTAAAAAATCAGCCTCTCAAGTAAATCATATTTTCTGCCAACATAGGACTGTTAATAAGATGTCCTCTGACATTTCGGCGATGTAGTAAAGGCAATCGGTTGAGAAAGTAAAGCAGAGCGCTAAAGCAGAATTCATTAAAGTGAAGAGTGAATCTAATTTCATATATTTTTGACGGACATGGTGCTCCCGCTTACTTCTTATCATTTTGGCATCCTCCTTCACGTTCAGTCTATATAACCAAGACTCATCCGAAATCCAGATTCCAAATGAAAGTTACTCCGATATACTCAAAGCATGCATCTAGTCGAGCGATTTAATAGAATAATAGTTCAGATCACCCTAGGCGACATAAGGTGATGAAGGACTGGCGGATGATATGTCTCACAATGATGTGAGATGGTCTCAAGACGTCAGTGAATTTCATTTAGCCTTGCCTGTCAAAGGTTTCGACTTCGCGTAAATCTCACCAACAGCCCCAGCAGAATTGTTACACGATTAGTGCAATATATAATTTCGCAATTAAACAACTACGTCGCACATACCCGAGCCCCAGTGGATAACGAGGAAAAAATGAGGCAGGCCTCTCTCATATCGCACTTTTATAGTTGGTTTGTTGATGAGACAAAATTGTATTTCGAATCAGATTTATGATTTGCCATTACAATCAACTACGCTACTTATATTCGTAGAAAGTAGGTTTATAGACTACCAGTAAAACTTAAATAAGATTTATGATTTGCCATTACAATCAACTACATTGCTTATCGAAGGTATAAAGACCAAGATAGTGTGGCCTTTTGTGTGGTCGCAGTCTCCTTTCGTTGAATAGAA